GGCACCGAAGCACACAGACACCAACAAGATTGAGGAATTTCTGGAGGCAGTGTTGTGCCCTCCCAGGTATTTGGGCACTTGGAAAGGGGAGGGGGAGCTGGGAGGCTCTGAGAAAGAGGTTGAAAAAATGAAAAACAGATGGTGATGGGGCTGGGACAGGGGATCTGAGACTCCTCCCAGGAGGATATCTTATTTTGTTTCTCCCATTGGCTTTTAGGTACCCCAAACTGGCAGCTCTGAACCCTGAATCCAACACAGCTGGGCTGGACGTATTTGCCAAATTTTCTGCCTACATCAAGAATTCAAACCCAGCACTCAACGATAGTGAGTCTTGTGGGTCAGAGGCCTGGATCCTAGGAGGAATGGAGACGATCCAGGGATTAGGAGGCATTGGGGGCACCTGAAAAATTCAGATATCAGGGAGATGGAGCAGATGTTAGCAAGCCTTCAACCTCCCCACCACTGCCTTGTTTTTGCTTAACTCTCATATTTCCTTGTATTCTCATTGGCCGTGACTTTTAAGTATCTTTCATTTTTTCCTTAACCTCTCTTGTCCTGCTGGGGACATTCGTGTTAGCTATCATTATTTTGGACTAGCCTCACCATTAGTATTCACCCCTTCACCCCTACCTTGTCCCCTGGACTTCTTGGACTATGTTGATTTTCTGATCTTGGCAATTAATTCTCTTTTGCACAGATCTGGAGAAGGGGCTCCTGAAAGCTCTGAAAGTTTTAGACAATTACTTGACATCCCCACTCCCAGAAGAAGTGGATGAAACCAGTGCTGAGGATGAGGGCATCTCTCAGAGGAAGTTTCTGGATGGCAATGAGCTCACTCTGGCTGACTGCAACCTGTTGCCAAAGCTTCACATAGTACAGGTGGGTGGTCATTGTGAGAGGAGAGGATGGCCTATGAGATGGCTTCCCATGACAACCGCTCTAAAGTGGTTTCTTTCTTAGGGTGTTTTCTATAGGTTGCTACCAATAGCTGATACCACCCTATTCCTTCTCATTTCTGGCAAAACCACTGCTTGAAAAAATTACATTCCATGATATAAGCCGTGGGTGTAAGCGGGCTGTCTGAGAGTAATACATCCCGATATTACTCTGAAGAATGCTCTTCCTGTCTCTATCACTGCCAAACCCCCAGATCAGACAATAGGCTTTTCCTAAAATCAAAGCTTTAACTCTATAGCTTCAGTCTCCAATTCCTCTTGTAGAAGATGAAAACTGTTGGTTCCCATATTTTTGTCATAACCTTAAATCTATAGTTTTAGTTTGTGAAACATGGGCCAATGTTAGTCTACCACAGAACTATGTATTGAACTAGGCACTGAAAAAGTTGTATGATGGTTAATCCTTGCCCCAAAGGATTTGAAATCTAGCCAATTGAAAGATAGAGACCAAAGTCGCTGTGGAAATTCAAGAGAAAAATTTTATGGTTTGTGAATTATATCAATAAAATCAAGAGGAGAAAAGTAGCACCATGGAATGTGATGGTCTGAAAAGAGGCTGGTTTAAGTATCAGTAAATGAAGAGTGAAGACATTACAAAACTGTGAGGAATTAAGTGTAGATTGGTGAAGATGGTTCATATGGGAGATAAGAATCAAAGGAAGAAAGAGACTCTTGAATGCCTAAAGGAGATGGCTGGATTTTATCTGGTAGCCTTGGGATAAGAGAAGGACCACAGTTTGGCTTCCCTGAGGCTAATATGTTGGTCCTTATCCTGTCTAGGTGGTATGTAAGAAGTACCGGGGATTCTCCATCCCTGAGGTGTTCCGTGGAGTGCATCGGTACTTGCGCAATGCATATGCCCGGGAAGAGTTCGCCTCCACCTGTCCAGACGATGAGGAGATCGAGCTGGCCTATGAGCAAGTGGCCAAGGCCCTGAAATAAGCCCCTCCTGAGCCTCTCTTGCCCCCCTCCGTTTTTTCCCCCCCGCAAAGGTGGTTTCTACTTGGCCACCCAATGGACACTCCAAAATGCCCAGTGGGGGAATGAATTCTGGAGCACTTGTGCAGGACTGGCTGGGGAACGAGGGGAAGGAATGAGGGATCTGGGTGAGAATTTTATTATGGGGTGGGGTGGGATGGGTGGGACAATGTATTTCAGTAATAAAATACAGAATGAAAAATCTAGTACGTTTTCTCACAAAGGGTGCTAGAAATGTGGATAACACGGAATGAAGGGTGTGTCAGTGACCTTGAGCTCAGAGCAGAAGCTAGGAATTTAGAAGAGGGGTGCCTGCGGCGATATTGCCGGGTTTTTTTTTTTTTCTCCTTTACCGCCAGTCCATCATCGTGCTGTCTTGTACTCCATGTCGCATTTGCAGCCCAGCTTTCAGGGGTGGACAGATCTGGGTGGGCCCGAGCAGCGCTCGCGGGGCGGGGCCGAGTTCAGAACTGAGCACAGTCCCTCAGGAATGGGCGCGGCAAAGCAGGACAGAATGGGCGTGGCCTTGAGGAGTCCCGCCCTGTCCCGCTTAGACAATGCCCGGGAGCCGCCAGACCGTCGCGCCCCCGCCCCACCGTAGTATTTGAGCTCATCTGCGCAGGGACCCCTCAAAGCCAGAGCTCCAATCTCCGAGGCTTGAAGACTAGGACTATCTTCATCAACTCTGTCCTCGGTGGGGGGAGGGATCCAGCCGACATTCAGAGCGGCAGGAGTGGGGGTAGCAGCTGGAGGTGAGTCCGGGGTGGGAGGTGTCAACTGGACCGTGTCGGGGCCGGAGTCTGGGCGTGTTGGGCCCGTGCCTTCACAAGACAAGAGTGCAGGGGGGCCGACATTTGGGTGCGGAGCTGAGTGGGGTGGACTTTGGAGAAGATAGACCGGGAGAGCGGGGAACTGGGTCCTGGAGTGGCACCCGCTTCCTGAAACCACGCCTCTCTGTTTCCCCGCCCCTCGGATTTTGTTTTAGACTTCTCCCAGTCCTCTGGGACTCGGTCTGGTTTATACTGGGTCGGGCTAGGGCCAGACTGACCCGCCGAGGTGGAGAGGATGTTTTAACTCCTAAGGCCTTATTTCCTCCTCCTTTGCCCCTCTCCCTTTGTCATTCGGACATCCAAGACTTCAATCTCCCAGGCCCTCTCTCCCCAGTTGTCTCCTGTCCCATAACCTCTGTAGGTTCCCTGCCACACTTAGGGTTCCTACGGCAGCGAGCCGCTGAGGGTTAAAGGGGCGGGGCCGCTGCATTTTTGGGGAGTGAGCGCATCCTAGCGGCTGCCAAGAGGGGTGCCGGGCAGGAACCTCACGAAGCCCCTGAGCAAGGGGCAACAGGTGTTTTGCAGATTAGAAGGTCCCGATCTTGCTCCTCGGACTCCCTTAAAGAAGCAGACCCGCAAGGGTGCGGGTGCAGTGGGGTGGGCAGGAGAGGAAGGTCTGGAGCGGGTGGGGAAGAGTGGGAGGGGCGTCTAAAGATGGCAGGAGAAAGACCCCGGCGTTCTTAATCACCCCCCTACGCCTTTCTTTGCATGTCTCTTTCTCTGTCACTCCCCCATTCTGTCTCTTCTCCCAGACAGGTGAAATAAAAAGAAACTAAGAAGTCAGCGCGACTGGAGGGGTCGTCCGTGTGGATGGGATGGGGACAACGGGGGAGGGGCTGGGCCGCTGCTCCCATGCCCTGATCCGGGGGGTCCCGGAGAGCCTGGCGTCGGGAGAGGGTGCAGGGGCTGGCCTTCCGGCTCTGGACCTGGCCAAAGCTCAGAGGGAGCACGGGGTGCTGGGGGGTAAACTGAGGCAGCGATTGGGGCTGCAGCTGCTAGAACTGCCTCCTGAAGAGTCATTGCCGCTGGGACCGCTGCTCGGTGACACCGCTGTGATCCAAGGCGACACAGCCCTAATCACGCGGCCCTGGAGCCCCGCTCGCAGGCCGGAGGTGAGCGCCAAGGTGGGGTGGGGGTAGGAAGAAGGGAGGTGCTGGACCTTCCTTCTTTAGGGAAGAATTGGGGGTGGGAATGTCTCAGCCTCGGCCCTCTTCTCTTGCCCTAAGGTGGATGGAGTCCGCAAAGCCCTCCAGGACCTGGGGCTCCGAATTGTGGAGATGGAGGATGAGAACGCAACGCTGGATGGCACCGATGTTCTCTTCACTGGTGAGGCTGAGGTGCTGATACCCTTGGGGCTTGGCACAGGGAAGCAGAGTTTGAGAGACTGGGCCGTCTCTGGCTTGTTTCTAACTCATTCCCTCTTGCCCTCAAACCTCTGCGGCCCCAGGCCGGGAGTTTTTCGTAGGCCTCTCCAAGTGGACTAATCACCGAGGAGCTGAGATAGTGGCAGACACTTTCCGAGTGAGGAGTGGGACAAGCCTTGGTTGGTGGGGGGCAGCGGGGGTTGGAAGGGCCTGGGGAGGGGGGCACTGAGGAGGGAGAGGTTGAACGCAGCCTGTGTCACCTCTCCCGCGTTCTTGAGTACTTTCCCTTGTACCTCCTAGGACTTTGCAGTCTCCACAGTGCCTGTCGGGAGCCCTTCCCATCTGCGAGGCCTCTGCGGCATGGGGGGACCCCGGACTGTAGTGGCAGGTAGCAGTGAGGCTGCTCAAAAGGCTGTCAGGGTAAGGAGGGTTGGGCTGGGGTGGGGCAGGTTGGGGCACTGCCCACCACACAGCCAGGGAGGCAGGGAGCTGTGAGGCTCAGAATTAGTTCCAGCTCCTGCTCTCACCTAGAAGTTCATCTTCTGTGAAAATAGGAGCAAAAACCAATAGTATAGGGGAACAGGGAGATGGGAGACTGGGGAACAGGGTCGATTAACATTGTCTTCCAAAAATCCCAAAGGTGGCATCTAAGCAGTGATTTGAAGAATGGATAGGTCAGACAGGTGGGGGCAGGAGAAGGGGAGAAGAGTTACAGGTAGAAAGAACTGCATATGTGAGTCCAAGGTGGAAATTAGCATAGGTAATTAAAGTGATTAAAACAGCGCCTGACACATAGTAAGCCCTATATGCTTGCTGTCATTATTTTTCTACCATTGTAACTGTCTCTATCCCTTAGCATTGATAGGGTAACCAAGCTCAGTTGTGGAGCAGCTCTGAGACTTGAATACTTCCTTCTTCCTCTACTCCAGGCAATGGCGGTGTTGACGGACCATCCCTATGCTTCCCTGACCCTCCCAGATGATGCAGCTGCTGATTGTCTCTTTCTGCGTCCGGGGTTGCCTGGTGTGCCCCCTTTCCTCCTACACCGTGGAGGCGGAGACCTGCCTAACAGCCAGGAGGTGAGGAAAGGGAGGCGTTCCACCACAACCACCAACCAGAGGAAGGAGTCTCAGACCTTCCTAGTGGAAGGAAGGAAGGGTACCTTCTCTACAATTTGGGGTGGGACCACTCTGAGCTGGCTGCAATGGTCTCACACTCATCTCCCCACTCTGTGTCCTCCCTGCAGGCACTGCAGAAGCTCTCTGACGTCACCCTGGTACCTGTGTCCTGTTCAGAACTGGAGAAGGCCGGTGCTGGGCTCAGTTCCCTCTGCCTGGTGCTCAGCACACGCCACCACAGCTGAAGGCCTAGCCTTAGAGTCCTAGTGGGCTAGGGTAGGACAGCATAGGGAGTAGAAAGGGAAGGAGGGTTAGACAGAGGATGATGAATAGTAGCGGGAAGAGGGCACTCCAAGATAGGGGGAGGGCATAGTGTGGGGAAAAAGGATAGAGATCACTGGGTGAGTCCTCTCTCTCAGAACTAATAAAATAGAACTGACCTTTTAGACTAGGCTGTGGCTGGTGTCTTACTGGGGTAGTGGGAAAGTTTGGGTATAGTGCTGGGAAGGAGGCCTCTTTTATTCGTCAAACCCTCGTTAGGCACTTACTGACTCATTGCCCAGACCTGTCATAGGTGTTTGGGCATGAGATTGACAGGATAGAATTTCTATTGTGGGGAGTATGTACAGGGCAGAGAAGAGAGAGTATGGGTGGATCACTTGTTGAATTTATCTAAATGTCAGATGATTCAGAGACTGGTAGATTACCAGCCCAGCCCTAGTTGACAGAGAGGAAAAAATGCTTTCAGGGTTATTTTCATTCACTCATTTACTGAGGCTTAGTGGTAATCTGAAAATGGTCAGTCTTCTGCTATCAAGGAACTCACAATACATGAAAATTTCTTACAAATTGAAATACAGGTTGTGATGGAACAAGTCACAGGAGGCCATTACTATAAGAGAAATAAAGGGACTCCCAGGCCTCCAAAATATACGCAGTGGGGCAAAGAGGGTCAGGAATGGCTTCCCAGAAGGCTACACTTTGAACTGAGCCCTAAGGATAAATAACAGTTATCCAGACAGGTAGTGGGGAGGAGAAAAAAGGGCAATCCATGAAGAAAGAATTGCACTGGACAAAGGAATGCAGCATTTGGAGCCTGGGAGGAATTTCTCTAAGGTTGGCATGTTGTGTGCATGTGGTGTGAAAGCAATAAGCCTGAGGTGTAGATAGGCAGAGTGCTATAGCACCTTGTACCCAATGCTAAGGCCCATGAGCCCATTAGGACATCACTGGCAACCTCATGGGAGGAGAGTGAACAAAGTAGGAGAGATGAGTGTAGGCCTCTGGATCAAAGTAGGAGAGATGAGTGTAGGCCTCTGACTGTAGAGCTGAAAGTTAAGGAAAGAAATACTGCAGTACTGAAATACAGGCTGGCTTCAGGGAGGAGGGCAAGGGCAGGAGGATGAGGTGGGGCTTTGGGGAATCCAGGCAAGAAATGAGGAGTACAGTCATGTGACAGCGCTGTGCATGAAGAAGGGTATGGATTTGACAGTGATTAAAATAGAATGGCAGGACTTGGTTCATTGTGTGGGAGAGAAAGGAAGGAGATCTGCATGGCTCCCAGTTTCTGGCTTGGACGACTGGGTTGATCAAGAGAGAATGCAGAGGAGAATTAAGTGAGTGGCTTGGGAGATGACAATGGGTTGCGTTTTGGATATGCAGTGCTCAAAATGCCTAGGGCAGGGATGTCTGAGGGACAGTTTGGGAATCCTATATCTGAGATCTGAGTTGTAGAGAGTTCTGGGTGTCATTTGCTGAGGCGAGGGATAAGGACTGGATGTGAATGACAGCTTCCCAGAAGAGAGACAAAACTAGAAAGGTGGGGAATACTGTGGGGTAGGGAGAAAGGAAGAGGAATCCAGAAGGAAGACACCAGCATTAAATAAAAACAGTTTAAAGAAAGGAGTAATCAAAAACCAAGCCAAATGAATGCTAAAAAATGTCTACTGAGTATAGCCATTAGGACATCACTGGGAGGAGAGTGAACAAAGTAGGAGAGATGAGTGTAGGCCTCTGACTGTAGAGGGATGGAGAGAGATGGGACAAGTATCTACAAGTGGTTAATGTCTTAAGATGGGGAGACAGGGCTTGATGAGGTTTAGAGAGGATACCAGTGATGAAAGAGACATGGAGATTATAGGAGAGATATGGTAACTGAAAGAACGAGATCAGTGGCAGGGATAGCCTGGAACCCAGGTTTCCTTACTCCCAGTCTACTCATTTCTATCCCATGGTGCCTTCCTTTTCCAGAGGAGAAGCTGAGGGTGTAGGGGGAGTGATGCGGGGGGCATTTATGGAGAGCTGGGAGTCCACAGCTTGTGAGGTTTGGAGTAAGGGCTTTCCTTCAAACTACAACCGCATAGATGGTGGAAGCATCAGCAGGGACCACTGGGGACAACCGGCCAGGCCTTCTGAGGGCCCTACAATCCAGGTCTGCGTAGAGCAGGCTCTGAAAGGTAGGAAGGAAGGCAAGAGGGTCTCAGAAGTGTGAATCCCTTGGCGATACAGGCCTCTGTCTCTCTTGGTCCACTTTCTCAGGGATTCTGGCCAGTACCCTTCCTATCCTCAAGTCCTTACCTGCTCCTGGTCTAGGTCACCGGCAATTTTAGGCTCCTCTTCCGTTACTGGCCTCTGGGGCTCAGCTTTCACAAGTGGAGCTGAAGGATTGAAAGAAGGTGACCAACGGTCTGCTCCCAGCGAGGGCTCAGACTCAGAAATCGAGGGGTGGGAAATATGCGGGAAGGGGAAGGAAAATGGAATGGAGTTAGTCTCACCAAATCTGGGGAGTGGTTGAAGTGGGTGCGGGGACGAGCGCCTGTAAGGGATGTATAATAGTCTTAGAGAGCCACCAGTATTGTCTCGCTTGTTCTCCGCTCCAAGCCGCGCCAACCGCAATCCTGCAACTTGCAGGCTCTGACCCGCAAAACAACATAGGTTCCACCTCCACAGATAGTTCCTCCCACGCTCAGATCCTGCTCCCCTCTAGCTTCGCTTCCTGAGCCAGAGCTCCACCCACTAGCCTGTGGCCTCGCCCCCAAGTTCTGACCTTCCCAAACCACACCCTAGAGCTCCACATCCAGCTTTTGCTTATGAAAGTTCTGGTTCTGCCCTGTCTCTGGCCATTAAACCAGGCTCCGCCCCTCGTGCTCACCTGCGTTGCCACCAGACCACGCTCAACACTCCGAGTCCCAGCACAAACCCAGCTCCCAGCAGAGGGATCAGGAACTGGGGATACACGGACCCTGGGAGAACGATGGGAAGGGGTGGGAGATGCCGAGATCAGGGGTGCAAGGACGGACAGCTACCTCTCCCTCTCAGGAACCTCCAGCCAAGGCCCCCCCTCTCTGCCAGAGGATGTGTGTCCGAGTTAAGTCTCCCTGTGACCGAAGGCTTAGACCTACCCTGGCTAGGCTCTGGGGCCTTACAATCGGCCCCATCTCCCAGCACGTGAATCACTGTCCGGCTTTCGTCCTCCTGGCGGCCCCTGCAGATAAAGGTGCCCGAGTCCCCCGCGCTCAGAAGAAGCTCTAGCCGCCGTATACCAGGGTCCAGGGCGCGTAGGCGGCCAGCAAAAAGCTGGACAGGAGACACAGTGGGGGTCGCCCTCGAAGAGGCCCACAGGATCGGTCGGCGTCCTTTAGATAGGCCCTTGCAGGCTGGGAAGCTAGGTGCCCAGGCCCACCGGATCGGATACAAGACCCCTACGCAGGAGAGATTCACCCGGTCCCCAGGGCGGCCCTCCAAGGAAACTAGGGGAGGCCGGGGTCGGTGGTTAGGGCAAATCCACAGGGCGAGGCAACTCCCCTCCCTCCCGTCTCCTCCCTCTCCCCTCTCCTCTGCTCTCCCACCGTCCTTAATCTTTCCACACATCCCACCACCCAGTCGCCTCCTCCCTCAGTCATTCCTCGTCCATCTCGACTTTCCCAGGAATGGCTTACGCCCGGAGTCCGCCTGGGCCCTCGACAGCAGCAGTGGCAGCAGCTGCAGAAACAGGCGCATGGTTGGGATGTGGTGGGGAGAGGAGGCGAATGAGTCAGCGGAGAAGACCGGAGGGAAATGGGGTTGGGAGGAGAGGGAGTTCTGGGGGAAACGGGTCTGGGGGCTCGGATAAGAGTGGGGCGGGGCCACCAGCTTGCCCGGATCCCTTTGGGAATCCTCGCAGGCAAGCTCACAGACTTCAGTGCTCACTTAAGATTTGTGCTCGGGATGTTTACACAAGCATTTTTGCAAACTTTAACTCCTGTAGGGGAGCAATGGTCAGAGCGTTATTAATTCTGGATCTTGAGTTCAAACCCTGACTTTGCCAGCTACTAGCTGTGTGATGTGGGCAAATGGCTTAATTTCCCTGGGCCCCGTTGGCTCATCTGTAAAAGTATCTATGTGGTACCTATCATGAGAACTAAACACACACACACACATAAAACGCCTAGAACAACTGCTGACACATAGGAACATGAAATACTTGCCATTATCATTACTATTTCTATTCTTATTTAACATCTGCCTCACCCCTATGTGCCCACGCTGTCCATCCCAGCTGTGGTGCCTCACCCAAACAGGCAGGTTTTGATTTGGAAGGCACTTTGGAGCTGGTGCACATGCCCCACACCCAGGACTTCATTGGCTCTCCCTGAACTGGAGCAACAGAGATAAGACCAAACCCAAGTGGAGCAGGCCAAGATCCTGAGAACCTTTTGGGGGCCTGAGGCAACCCCTCCTTATCAAGCAGCCCCAGCCAGTGCCTCTGCTGTTGTGACATCACAGAAGCCCTTGGTGACATCACAAACCCTACTTCCCTTATCCTGTGGCTGAGCAGGGGTTGGGAAGACCAAGTGGGGCTGAATGGAAATTAATTTGGCTTCTTCCATCCAAAATTTCTGCTCACATGTCCTTACCAGTTCCCCCCAGGGACTGAAATTTGGCAGTTATCTTGGGCCACACCCCATTGCCCATTCTCCAGGAACCAGCAGATGTTACTACCGCGCCACTGTAACATCATAGGGGCTTTTGGTGATGCTCCTTCAGGGGACTGAGCAGGCAGGGTTGTCAGCTGGGGGCGAAGAGAGGTGTCGTGGCCTGAAACCAAGAACCAAAATGGTTCACCTATGCTCCCCCTCTTTCCCATTCCCACTCCTCCACCCAGTCCTGTTTAGCCCCTCCCCACTCCTCCACTTTCCGTCGATCAGCTGTGCATAAATGGGGAAGGAGGAGCTACCAGAGAGGCAAGGAAGGGAGGGACTGTTAGGATTATAAATTCTCAAAAGGCCACTCAACTCCTGGAGCTGGATCCCCGAAAATCTACTCTGTCAGCTGCTGCAGTTGCTACCATTCTCAGGACCCTCATCATGAAAGGCCGCCTGCTGTTCGCCTTGTCTTCTCTGTTCTGCTGGGTCTCAGGTGAGCACCTGGGGCCCCATGGACCTGGTTGACTTGGTCAGGACTTTTACACCCTACCCCATCTGCTGCCTTACACTCCCCACTACTCAGGATCCCAAGCACCCCTGGCTCCAAATAGCTCAGCCTTGCTATATACTTTCAGAACCAGGCCTCCTGTGATGGGGTGCTTGCTCCATTTCTCAAGGACCCACATCTCCATCCTTCAGAATGCTCCCCACCTCCAAGACCTACTCTTCTATCCAGCCAGGGCTCCAAGTCCCCTGTTCCCCATGACAAAGTGCCTCCTTCTTGGAAACCCTGGTATCCAATTTCCCTGCCAACCCCACTCCAATACAAAACTCTCCAGGATCCAGCTTACCTGCTTTCTCCTTCTGTCCACCAGCATCAGCAGGGTGTCCTCCCAGAAACCTAAGCATCCAGGCTGGAGCTTCTTTTGCACCGCACCTTCCCCATCCACTCCAGCAGGGACTTGCAGCTCAGTCCCTCAAGCAGTGTTTTTTTCCTAGTTCTCCCCGCTCTCCTCTGAGGCACATACCCCTAGGGACACAGCTTTCTGGAGGGTGCCAGTGACCTCTTAGAACCTCCTGGGAAACCAGGGAGATTTCCCTGGCCTTCTAGGGAGAGAATTCCAGGGCTGCTCACCCTGTGAGGTGGCTTTCACTGAGGTAGTCGCCAGTCTCCTCCATCCATCCTTGGACTAAATCTCTCCTTCACCAAACCTTGCATGTCCAAACCTTGAATTAGTTGAGTCAGGAACTTTGGGGGTGCCATCACCTTCTATACCCCCCCTGTCCATTTTGGTAAGGTGCTCAGGTGGAATCTGATAATCTGCCTCCCAGATAGTATTCCTTTCTGTCAGAGAGCTCCTGGGGTGAGAGGTGAGAATTCCATTCAGGTCTGGTTCCTCTTCCTACACTCTTGGTGGGCCCAGGAGGTGAAGAGTAAATTGCTAAAGCTGGCCACAAGTGGCTTTCTTGCCAGCCTCAAGTTCCAAGCCATTTCTGCTAGTGTTGCAAACTCCATGATTTTTATTATTATTATTTCTTCCCATTTCAAGACTCTGTGACCTTTTCTGAATTCCTTCATCTTCTCCTCCATCTCCTCTGTTCCTACCCCATGGAATTCTCACTTTCCACTTATTCCCAGCACCATGTTTTTGTTGGTAGCTCTGCTCCTCCTGACTCATCCTCAGATGGACTGGAGTGAATAAAGGTATTTAGGGTGTGTGTCATTCACAGAGCAACAACTCCACCCTCACCCACTTCCACTCTTTCTCTATCACTCACCTGCTCTGTCCCTGCCAAACCAAACAGGTCAGAACGCCTGCTTCACTGGCTCTTCTCCACCCTATCCCCTGGCTTGGCTCATCCCCAGGTGAGTCAGACACCTCATCACCTCAGCCTGACTTGTGTCTTCCAGCTGATATTCGCTGTCACTCCTGCTACAAGGTCCCTGTTCTGGGCTGTGTGGACCGGCAGTCCTGTCTCCTGGAACGAGGACAAAAATGCCTGACAACAAATGTGTACCTCGGTAATATCCCCTTCTTTAGTGGGGAGAGGAGGCCCTAGGAGCCATAGGAGACTCTATGGCTGGGGCTGATACTCATTTGGGGCTAAAGCTGAGATGGAACAGAAAAATGACAGCAATGATAACATTTGGCCAAGGATTATTATGTGCCAGGTCCCTTTATGTCTTTACATAAATTGTTTCAATTAATGTTCATGACAACTCTGTGATGTGGGTGCTATTATTACACTGAGGAAACAGCCTCAGAAAGAGACAGTAATGGGGACAGGACCTCATAGCCAGCAAGTAATAGGACCAGGATTGGGGTGAAGGGGCAGGGTATGGAAGTGCATGCAGGAGGAAGATTAGGCTGAGAAGAAATAAAGGAAAGGAAAGCCAAGGCAGAGTTGGGAAGGAAGGAAGCCTGGATGGGTGCATGGGGTGGGGAGGTGGACACAGG